TCCTCTGCTGAAACTCTTCAGTGTCTTCCTTTCTTAGAATAAAGTCCAAGGTGCTACATCAGGGGGCCTCTGGCTACCTCCTGGACATCATTTCCTGCCACCCTCCGTCTCACTCCCCAGGCTCCAGCCTCACTGACCTCCGAGCCATTCCTGCCAAAAGCCTCTGCACTTGCTGGAAGCTCCCTGGAATGCTCACTCTCCCGGATCTTCAAGCCTTGTGCCTTCACGGACTATGCCCTTCTTGGGGGGCCTTTCTGATCCACCTTGTTGGGAGGAGCCCCGCTTCCCCTGCTTCATGTTTCTCTATCACATGCCTCACTCTCACCTCATGTATATCACATGTCATGTTTACCGTGTCTCTCACTAGAAGATAAACTCCACGAGGACTTCGGTTGTGTGTCCCCAGCGCCTAGAACCATACCTGGCACATGGTAGATGCATGAAAATTATTGGTTGAATGAAGAAGGTCAAGTCCCAGCTCCTTTATCTGACTGGGTAACTTGAGGCAAGCATCTTAGCATTTCTGAGCCTCAATTTCCCTGACTGTACAATGGGATTAAAATTCTGACAGTGGGAGGCCCACAGGCAATTGGGCTGATGAAAATGCGTTGACAAGTGGGAGGCAGTCTTTAAATATGACAGATTGTTATGGGGATTGGCTGACAAGAGTTCAACAGAGTCCTGGCTCTACCCTCTCTTGGCTGCGTGACCTTTGGATGGTTGCTTCATGTCTCTGTGCCTCTGTTTACTTGTGGATTAAATGAGGAGGGAAAAACATTCTCCTTGCTAACCACGAGGGGCTCTTGGGAGGATCGTGGGAGCTGCTAGATGTAGAAGCCCTTTAAACACCAGGGAGCAAGTGTGGTGCCCGAGCTGGAGGTTGTAAGTGTGGGCTGGTGTCGCTCAGGCTGGGGAGGGACACATCTGAGACTCACGCTCTCCGGCTCTGGAGGACAGAGCTCACTGGAAGACACCAGAAGGTGCTGCGTGTCTTCTTCCTCAGTGCGTGTTTCTGAACTGGGCCTCACCTCATCGATGGGGGAACACATCGGTGTAACATGGAATCGCGTCGGCTCAGTAGCCATTTTCCCAGCACTCGAGGGTCTGGGGCTTTCTCACGATCAGTGAGCAAGCTTTAGCCACGCGTGAATTCCTTCAGAGAAGTGCTGCCAGTCCTGCAGGAAGTGCCTTTCTTTTGTGTTCATACAGTTGTCGCTCTTTATCCAAAGCCTTGCTAGTCACCGTCCGAAACTCGGGAACTAAATAGATTTGTATAGCGCAGCATCCCTTCCTACCCCAATTCTCCAAACTCTCACTGTCCAAGCTTTCACCATCCCATCTCAAGGACATGACAGGTTTGGTGAGGAAGCTTGCCTGGCTGGGTTAGCTGCTTGAGAGAACTTAAACTTAACATAAAATCTTCTGACAGAATTAGGAAACAGATGAAGACATTGCAAAGGCATATCCTTGTGTTAAAAAAATTGAGTGAAGAAGATGATTTCACCTTCGGTCAGACTTTTAGTTTTGGTAAATCCGGTTTCTACGGGAATCAAATGCCCCAAGGACCTACATGTCTAAGGAGGGGGCACTTTGCCAGCGGTGAAGGCTGCAAAGGCCTGAGAGAGGCCCCGGGTGCAAACATCAGTCGAGAGTTAACCGTGCTGGTGTTTTCTATTAGGATTGTTCTTGTTTTGTTAGTGCTCTGATTACAAAGTTGCATATGTTTTGAGTAGTCTGCCCTAACTTCATTTCGCCCTAACCTTGGTATTTTTTTAATGCATGGTTTTGCAAAAGTGCACATTTTTCCCCCCAGGGATACGGATCTCACTTTGTGGCAGAAATGGCTGCCTATGTTCGTTCCCAGAAAGCCCTTTCTCACTGGGGAGCATGTGTGTCAGATGAGCCGCTGCAGAGGCTGGGAACATTGCAGGTAGAGGCTGGGTGCCCCGCCGTTCAGGGACGCTCTGGGTGCCCAAGGATGAGGTAGACCCCGGGACATCCATCTCTCCATCAACATCGACAAGTTCTTGTTCCACTTCCCCCCAAACTTCTGGTTCCAAACGTGCAGCCAGAAGGAAGGGAAGGGAAGATGACTCCTACCAGGATTTGCTCTGTGCCAGGCCCTGAGCTGTGTGCTCTACACAGTCACCTCCCTGGACTTGGCACTGTGGTTCCAGGCTTTGGAGCTGGAATGGGTTCAAATCCTGGCTCTGCCACTTCCTCGCTGAATGACCTTAAGCAGATTACTTCATTCTCTGTGCCTTGGTTTCCCCATCTGTAAAATGGGGATATGAATAGGTCCCAGCTCTAGGGCTTGTGGAAGGGATCGAATGAGACAGTAAGTGCTCATTAAAGTCAGTCGTTAATACTTTTCTGTTGATCATGGCGACCCCGTGAAGTGAGTGTATTTGTTAGGCCAAGTGAGGCTAATCTATTTCCAAAAGAGGCTCAAAATGTGGTGGCTTAAATACAATAGGACTATGTTTCTTTCTCATGGGACAGTGCCGTGGAGGAGGCCCAGGGATGAGGGGAAGCTCTGCCATTCAGTGCACGGTTTCCATCTCTGAGTCTAATCTGGCACTGTGGTTGCCAGCAGGCTGGGGGAAGAATACCAGGGAAAGGCATCCTTACTTGTTTTAACCACAAGACCTGGACATGGTACATTATTACTGCTGCTCACTGCCTTTGGCCAGAGCGGAGTCACATGGCTTTCCTGGCTGCTAGAGGGGTTGGAAATACAGCCTTTGTCATGCACCTATAGAACTCTGTTATTACAGGAGAGAACTAGAATATGTTGGTGAGAAATATGCCAGGGTGGGTTTTGCCATCAACATTTCACAACCGAGGAAACTTGCCCAGAGTCACCCAGACGGGGTTTGAACCCGGAACTTCCAGTTCCCAAACTCTATACCAGGTTGCCCCTTGTGCTTAGGCTGCCCGGGTCCATGTCGCCAAGAGGCCCTGTGGATGTCAGGAGGGGAATGCCTCTTGGAGAAGAAGCGAGGCTTCAGAGGGGGTCGTGTCCCGGCTGCAGGGCACGGCACAGACGGCAGGTCGGGGCCTCAGGATTTCTGCAAAGATGTCTAAGAGAATGGTGGGTTCTACCTCTCAGCTTCCTCCATGGCCGTCCCCTCCTCTCCAGCAAGAGTTCCTGACTGTTCTGGAAACAAGAACGTTTTCCTCCTTAGCCCCGTCACCCCGACAGGCAGTGTTTTGTTTTTCTTTCTCCCTCCTTCCTTGCTTCCTTCCCTCCCTCTTTCTTTACAGCGTGCCCTCCCCTCCTGGATCCTGCACACAGGCGTTTGTAAGACCACAGACTTGCAGTCCCAGCAGGGTGGCAATTGTGTGTTCTCCTTTGCCTATTTTAAATTACACCCTAAGCATTCTTCCATGTTGTTATCTGATAATCTTAGTTATATTTGCAAATGCCTGCTGTCACTCTGGTCTTGCTACTCCCAGGTCCACCTTCCGCTCAGCCCCCAGAGGGATGTTTCTAAGGTGTGAGTCTGATCCTGTGACTTCTCTGCTTAGAGCCATCACCGGCACCCCAGGACCTTTGGGACAAGGGACAGGCTTCTGGGCCTGACACTCAAGGCCTCCAGACACCGGCCCTGGTGACCCAGTCATCTCCTCTTCTCCAGAGCAGTTGGGGTCTTGGCAGGAAGCAGAATTGGAACCAGATGGTTCCAATAAAGAGACTTTAATGAAGGGATGACTTCTAGAGAGTAGGGTGCAGGGACCGAGCAAGGAGGTCGGGGGACGCAGAGACGAGCAGCAGCAGACGCTGTGGCAGAGGCACTGGAGGGCAGGGAGCAGGGAGGAGACACGCTGTCTTCTCTCGCCTCCCTCTGCCCATCTTCTGTGGGTGCCTCCCGTTGGCTGAAGCCAGCTAGAAACGAGAGGACCCCAGAGGGCCCAGGACAAGTGACCCACAGGGATCAGTGCACAGCAGAGAAGGGCAGACACTGGACCTGGAGTCTGGGGGGACCAATGGAGGACATCCAGCATGCTCCCAGCCCCGTGTGCTCTTGCTGGTCTCTGCACCTTTGCAGTGGCTGTGCCCCCGCTGGGGAAACCCGTCGGTCCCCTTCCACCCGGCGAACGCCTGTGCCTTCAGTCTCGTGTCCATGCTCCTTTTCTGTGCCCCAGCTTTGTGCTCACCACACAGCATCGTGACTGCCTGCTGTGACTCTGCCCTGCCCTGGACCGAGCTCCTGCCAGGAGTGACCCAGTCTTTTGGGTATTGACAGCACTCAGTACATGGCCGGGGAGAGGGGACTGGGGCGAGATGAATGAGGCACTGGCTTTGGGTGTGAAATTTAGGTGGAGGAGGAAGGGGTTTGCCAAAAATCTTAGTATTCAAGACATAATATTTTAATACCATATTTTTAAAAATCAGCAAACTGTAGTCCAGGGGCCGGCTGCCTATTTTGAGTATCCACCCAAACTGGAACAGCACCCCCAGAAGGGCTCTAGCAGGGTGTTAAAAAATTCCTTTTGACCTTGACCCAGAGTAAGAAAGAAATTTCACATTGTGACCCCCTACCGCACCCCCACAGACATTTCTGGACTGAAACAAAGATTTCACAGTGCAGGACTTATCTTCACTAAACATGCAGTGCGCCCTGAGGTTTTCTATTCTGGTCTAGTCTACTTGGTTTCATTAAGAAATACAGCCTTTCAAATTCAAACCATGGCTTGAAAAATGCTGACACTGTTGTACCGTCCTGCCTAATTTCCTCCGTAGTCTTTTGCTGCCTGCTAAGGGCTCTTACGGTTTGTGCATGTGCTCATGGCCCATCTGTCTGGGGGTGCAGCCCCGAGGGCAGGAACCCGTCCAGCTTGTCACTGCTGTCTTCCCAGCTCTGGGAACGCTGCCTGGCACGTGGACCATGCTCCTCAGTGAGCTGCGGGTGAGCGGGTGAGCGGATGCTGGAACACAGGGGTCCGGGCCCTGCAGCCAGGCTTCTCTGACTGCCTTGTTTTCTTCCTCTCCCCAGTTGGCCCTGGGGCCCAGCCTTGTCCGGGACACCCTGGCGCTGTGGCTGTGCATGACGCGATGGGCCTGCTGCTCCTGGGCCTGGTGCTCCTGCTTCCCGGCGTCTCCGGGCTGCCCTTCTACAACGGCTTCTACTACTCCAACGGCCGGGACCCCGGCAACGGCCATGGAGAAGGTGGGCGGCCTCTTGGGCTTGGTTCTTTGCTGCGCTGGGTGATCAAAACCTCCCTGGGCTCCTGCTGTGACATGCAGCTGCCAGGCTGAGACGAGGGACGGGGCATGGCGTAACATCCCCCTTTCCTATCTGGGCCTGCGTAGTGGCCCAGCCGTGCTCTGAGATGAGAGGAAGAGATGGTTTAGTTATCCTGTTCGCCAGCCCCTTGGACATGGAGCCAGATTCACTTAGGCTTTTTATACTTTCCCCGAAGTCCTGCCAATTTTTTAAGATCCAGCTTAAATGCGATCTCCCCTGGTCTCTCCAGTGGGAAGGGGATTTGGGGTCAAAGAGACATGAATTTGAATCTTATAATTCTGCCTCTTAGTAGTGGTGTGGCCTTGGGCAGGGGACTTTTTCATTAGCAGTTATTGTGCACCTGGCATGGGTGAGACATGCTTCTAGATGCCTTACGTACATTATCGCATATAATCCTTACAAAAACTCTGCTGTGGGCAAGAGTGAGAATAAAAGTGTTCAACAACCAGGGCAGTGTGGCTGCAGATCAGGCTGAACTAACGCTGGCTGCTCTTGCAGCCCTGAAGATAGATGCTATTAATATTATGATCCCATCTTGCAGATGAGGAAACTGAGGCTCAGAGAGTTGAGCCAGTTGCCCTTGCCCCACAGTTATTAAGAATACGAGCTGAGGTTTGTTCGTGGAAGGAATTAAAAGGTGAATAATACCCAGCCCCTGCCATGAAGAGCTCACAGCCTGGCCTGGAGACGAGACATGAGCCGCGCGGCGGGGCTGGGTGTCTCTCGCCTTGCCCTCTCCCTTTGGGTAGGTGGTTGTGCCTGCGGGAGACTCTCCCCGCTTTTTATTAGTCTCCCAGGGCTGCTGTAACAAACTGCCAGAAACTCGCTGGCTGGAAACAGAAATGTATGCTCTCGCAGTTCTGGACGCCAGAAGTCCAAAATCACTTCTTTCACCAGGTAGAAATCAAGGTGTTCGAAAGACTGTGCTCCCTGGGAGGCTCAGGGAGGACTCTGTTTTTGCCTTGCCTCTTCTGGTTTCCGGTGGCTTCCCGCATTCCTTGGCTTATAGCCGTGTCACCCTAATCTCTGCCTCTGTGGACACATGACCTTCCCCTCTTTTGTAGTCAAATCTCCCTCTGCCTCCTTCTGCAAAGGAACCTGTGCTTGCATTTAGGACCTGGCTGGAAAATCCAGGATACTCTGCCCATTGCCAGACCCTTAGTTTAACCCCATCTGCAATGCCCATTTTGCCATATAACGTAACGGTCCCAGGTTCCAGGGATTAGGAGCTGGATGTTTTGGAGAACATTATTTAGCCTACCATACTCGTATTCTCCAGAATTTATTTTACTGTACAAGCATGACTTTAATGAGATTCCAGGAGATTTAAAAACAAGCTTCCCCACAACTCCTCACCCATGATTCTACCAGACCACCAGGCTAACGGTTCATTTTCCTCTTTCCCTTCAGTCCCTGAATGTATGCCAGCCAATCACACATAATTCCCTCGCCCAGAGGAACGAACGCCTGCTTACTTTTTAGGTACAGGTTAAGCATCCCAAATCCTGAAATCCCAAATCTGAAACATTTTAGGTGCCAACATGGCACTTAAAGGAAATGCTCATTGGAGCATTTCAGATTTTGGATTTTTGGATCAGGGATGCTCAGCAAAGTATAATGCAAATATTCCAAAATCTGAAAAAATCTGAAATGTTAAACACTTCTGATCCTAACTACTTCAGATAAGGGATATTCAACCTGTGTATCTTTCCAACCTTTCATACACAATTAAGAAAACTTTCTGTAACAAAACCAGCTCATGCTATACATATGGTTTTTTACTTCCCTTCTCACCTCGTAGAATACAAACCTTTTTCTAAGTAAATGAGTGAATATACACATACCAGGTTACTTTATGTGGCTGTATAGTGTGTATAGTATTTTGTCATACGGAGATACTAAGATTTTGTTGTGTGGTTGTACTTTTCCATTTTATTCAAGTTTAAGCTTCAGACACAGAGTTGGGGAACACAAAAGGAAGTCACTGCTGCGTGACAGTCCTGACTCATACCCATTGGGCACTTTCTGTGTGCCAGGTGTCCTGCCTTATCTGATTTGACCTCACCACAGCTACTGTTAGCTCTGCAGCTACCGTTACTGGCCCATTCTACACAGGAGGAGGCCGAGGCTTGACCTTCCTAGATCACACGCTGGGAAAAGGTGGAGCCAAGATGCACGCCTGGAGTGCCCGCTTCTGCCCGCAGTCCCAAACCTCTGTCCCTACTGCCTCTCCAGAGCAGGGCTGCTCCAAATCGAGTGAGCTTCAGAGTCCCTTGGAAGAAGACTTTAAAACACCAATCACTGGCCCCACCCCAGAGTTTCTGATTCAGCAAGGCCCAGGAATATGCATTTCTAGCAAGTTCCTTGTGATGCTGCTGCTGGCCCAGGGGCCACCCTTCGAACTAGGGAGTTGGGCCGGTTGGGTACAGCTGTTTTTCAGCCGAGATCCTCTGCAGGGAACCTCCCTGTCTAACTCCTGCTGACCCCTCACGCCACCCCCTGCCCCCACCTCATGCACCTCAAGCAAGTCTTGAAGTCCAGACCCAAGAGAACGAGATCGTTAGGTCCCTGTAGGGGTCCCAAGTTAAAGATGAGGTAGCCTTAGCCCATAAATTGATTCTTTTGTTGCATGTCTGATTCTGTGTTTATTGGTAACTCTGAGCCCTGAGTATAGTGTCTTCTAGAAGTTCTGGTCTTAGCTCACCAGGGTTGCTAGGTATTTGGGAAGAATCATGGTGGACAGTTGGACTTGAGGCTGTGGTCCCCTGTGGCCAGTGTGGTAGGGAAGGAGACTGGGGGACCTGAGCCAGGGCCCCTCGTCCCTGCCACCCACCTCACGTGGAGGGGCTCTTGTTACCTGCCATATCAGTTAGCTTTTGATGCGTAACCAACCACCCCAAAACTTAGTGGTCAAAGATAACGGCCACTTGTTTAGCTCATGATCTTGAGGGTCAGCATTTGGAGTGGGCTCCATTTCCCCTGGTCTTGCAGATGCACCTATAGCTGGTTGGCAGGTCAGCTGGGGGCTAGGTGCTCTAGGATGGCCTCTGTCCCCTGTGGTCTCTCGTTCTCCAGCAGGCGAGCCAGGCATGTGCTCATGTGGCTGGCAAGGTCCTAAGGGAGAGAGTGGAAGCAGCAAGGCCTCTTGGGACGTAGGCTCAGAAGAGGCACAACGAATAGTCATTTCCACTGCATTCATTTGGTCAAAGCAAGTGGCAAGGCCAGCGCAGATTCAAGGGGGCAGGGAAACAAATGTCACCCTCTGATGGAAGGAGATGCAAAGTCACACTGTAGAGCGTGGGGCTACAGGGAGGGGCGGAGCATGGTGGCCACTTTCGCAATCTGTAACAGCTGAGCCTGGAGGGGGCTGGGGCTGAAGGTGTAGGGCGGCCCCTGAGGGGTGTAGACACGCTGCAGTCGGCCCCCATGTGCACCCCACCTGTCCCCCCAGGCCTCTTCAACGGCGTGAAGCTGGTGGTAGAGACGCCTGAGGAGACCCTGTTCACCTACCGAGGGGCCAGTGTGACCCTGCCCTGCCGCTACCACTACGAGCCGGCCCTGGTCTCCCCAAGGCCCGTGCGCGTCAAATGGTGGAAGCTGCTGGAGAACGGGGCCCCGGAGCAGGACGTGCTGGTGGCCATCGGGCTGAAGCTCCGCTCCTTCGGGGACTACCGAGGCCGGGTGCACCTGCGACGGGACAAGGAGCGTGAAGTCTCGCTGGAGATCCGGGACCTGCGGCTGGAGGACTATGGGCGCTACCGCTGCGAGGTCATTGATGGGCTGGAGGACGAGAGTGGCCTGGTGGAGCTGGAGCTTCGGGGTGAGACCCCGACTGGGACTGGCTGACTCTGCGACCTGAGAGCAGAGGGGAGGGGCTCTGAGAAAGCACCCAGACCTTTGTGCTTCAGACACAGAAATGCATTTAATCCTCAAAACAAGCCCACGTAGAAGCTGCTCTTATTACCACCTCCATTTTAAGGATGAGGAAAATGAGGGCCAGAGAGGTCAAGTAACTTACCTAAGGTCACACAGCTTGCAAATAGCACAGCTGGGGTTTGAACCCAGGCAGTCAGCCGCCAGAATTTGCTCCCCTCTGCTCCCCCTCATTCACATGCCATCCAGGGAGAGAGGAAAAGGGGAGCTGGCCCCACAGCTTATCAGAGACAGAGCTGAGATTTGAGCAGGGTTGGCAGGCAACACGAACGAATGGAGCAGGCCCCGTGTGAGATGACGGGGAGCGTGAAGACCGAGTGCACAGCTGAGCCCTGGCCCTGGCCACAGGCAGCCACCCACTCAGGCCCGGGTTGCCGGATGATGCCACGCCAGAGGGCAGGCCCAGAGCTGCCAGATTTCCTGATTTGACAAGAGAAGCTTATCTTTTTATGGAGACCTCTGGATTTTCATGTAAACGTCTCCTGTTTAAAAAAAAACAAAACCCGCCAGACCCTGCAAGCCGTATCTTGTGTGGGGGCCCCTGTGAGAGATCTCTAAATGGCTTTTTAACCTTCTCCGTCTCTAGGATGGGGCTGGGGCTCCGGACCTCCCAGGCCTGCAGGGGGCGGCTCTGGGCGGAGGAGCATAACCTAATTCCCCAGCCGTGGCCCCTTGGAGCTCCAGACCTTTCAGGTGTAAAATGGGGAATGACAGCCCCTCCTTTCCCTCCCGCAGAGATGATGAGGATGAAGCCTGGGTCTGGAAATGTTTCCTCCGTCTTTGCCCGCGGTATCCGCCTTGCCAGTGGCGTAGGTGGTGGCTCAGAGGGGCCACATTCCTCATTCCTGGTGGCAGAGGGACGGGAGAGAGCCTGCGGGAGTCATTTGTCAGGGGTCTGCAGGGGCCGCCTAGAGAAACAGGGAGCCCTCGCCCCGTTCCTGGGGCTGTAAGGGTTAGGGCCAGGGTGGGCCCAGGCAGAAAATAATCCCCTGCAAACACACGTGGAGGCGGCAAGTGACTGGCAGGGCTTCTCTGCCCCTTCAACCCGGCTTTGCCCAGGGGCCCGGCTTCCTGCCCCAGTGAGGTGGGAAGTTTGGGGCTAAATATATTCTCAGGTCCCTGGCCACAGGGAGGAGAGTCTAAGGACTTTGGTAAACAACTCCAGCCAAGCAGTGTCCCTTCCCAGGCCGCTAGGGTCACCCCCACTCCTTAAGGCTTCACCTAACTTGGAAGGGACTGGATCTTGGATGTTTGAAGTGCTTTTTATTATAGTAAAATTTCAAGCATGAATGGTAACTTTTGCGGGGAGCCTGTGGCCCCTATTAAATCCTGGCCACCAGGAGGGACCAGACCTCCCTGACCTTGAGCCTCCTGTATTTAAGGGCCCTTTACCACCTTTCTTGCCCCGAAAATCGTCTGTCACACAGGGAAAGTTCCTTGCGTTCTAGAAGCTTGCACGTGCAGAGTAAGGCATATGACCAGGTTTCCGCGATTGCGAGGGGAGCTGGGAGCCAAGCCTGGCCTCTTGGGCCCAAGGCCCGTGCCTGTCTTCTGTAGACAATAGCACATTCTCTTGGCAGCTCTTGTGACAGCCCTGTGAATTAGGTATCATTCCCGCTCTATAGCCAAGGACATTAGCTGACTGATTAATTAATTACCTTAATAAATGTTTTCTGGGTAGTGCTGTGTGCTGGCCCACGTCTGGGAGGGACGTGACAAGCAGATACAGGCTCTGCCTTGGACTTGGGCAATGGACAGGAGATCAGAGGTTCGCTGAGCTTGTCTGAGGGACAGGGTGTGTGTGTGTACGCGTGCGTGTGTGTGCGTGCATGTGTGTATGTGTGCGTGCGTGTGCGCGCGTGCGTGTGTGCATGTGTGTGCGTGCGCGTGCATGTGTGTGTGCATGTGTGTGTGTGCGTGCGTGTGTGTGCGTGTGTTGTGGGGAGCATATCCAGCCAGCCGGGCCCCGCCCACCCCTCCAAGCTCCTCTTTCCTCTCCCCAGGTGTGGTCTTCCCCTACCAGCCCCCCCAGGGGCGCTACCAGCTGAACTTCCACGAGGCCCAGCAGGCCTGCGAGGAGCAGGACGCGGTGGTGGCGTCCTTTGAGCAGCTCTTCCGGGCCTGGGAGGAGGGCCTGGACTGGTGCAACGCGGGCTGGCTGCAGGACGCCTCGGTGCAGTACCCCATCACGCTGCCCCGGCAGCCCTGTGGCGGCCTGGGCCTGGCGCCTGGCGTGCGTAGCTACGGCCAGCGCCACCGCCGCCTGCACCGCTACGACGTGTTCTGCTTCGCCACGGCCCTCAAGGGTGAGTGGAATGGCTGGGTGCAGGCCTGTGGGTTTGGTGGCCATTGGGGACCTGTGAAAGGGCAGTGTCTGGACCCCTCTGCCTGCCTTGCTGGCACCAGCACCTGGAGGCCTGGAGCACCGGCGTGTCTCGGGGCAACGTGCGTCTGAGTTTCGAGTGCTTTGTGGCTGCCGCTTCAGGCCGATCATTGGTTTATCCATTCGTCAGACATTTTCTGAGTGCCTAGACTAGGCTTGGAGGCATCACAGACAAATAAAACACAGTCTGTCCTCATGAAGCAGCCCATTTCATAGGCAGATAAACAAGTAAAAGCAGAAATTGGTTTGGTGCCATATTCTAAGCACTTAGAAAAGTGCCTGGCACATAGTAGGCGCTCAGTAAAACTGAACAGGTGAGAGACTGACTGGTCCAGCCTAGGTGGGGTGCCCTCCAGGGTGCAAATAGGGAAGGGGGCTGGGTGAGGACAGACACGACTAGAGGGACCTCCGTGCTGTGGCAGGTGGGTGGTGCTCTCAGGGAGAGGGCGAGGACCGGGAATTGTCCCCAGGAGTGTCCACTGCAGATGCTCACAGCATGACAGTTCCCTGGGCTGAGACAGTTTTCAGGTCGCTGGGGCTGGCCTTGCTGCAGGCCCCGCTGTCCTCCCCGGCCGTCCCTGCACTGCCCGGCACTCACGCCCGCTTCCCCCAGGGCGAGTGTACTACCTGGAGCACCCTGAGAAGCTGACCCTGGCGGAGGCGACGGAGGCCTGCTGGGAAGATGGCGCCCAGATCGCCAAGGTGGGACAGCTCTTTGCCGCCTGGAAGTTCCACGGCCTGGACCGCTGTGATGCTGGCTGGCTGGCAGATGGCAGCGTCCGCTACCCTGTGGCTCACCCTCGTCCCAACTGTGGGCCCCCGGAGGCTGGCGTCCGAAGCTTCGGCTTCCCAGACCCCCAGACCTCCTCCTATGGTGTCTACTGCTACCGCCAGCGCTAGGACCTGGGCCTGCCGTCACGCTCCCTCAGGTGCTGTGTATTTATTGAGTGGTTTCTTTTCCCTTGTGGGTTGGGGCAATTTTAGTCTTGTTTTTATACTTCTAAACTTAAACTTTTAAAAGAAAATTTTTACTATATTTTGTAAACCTGACGGAATCCAACGCCTCCCTTTGCTCAGGTGGACACCCCAAGGCTCCCCCTTGAATCCTCCTGCCCTCTCCTCTGGGACCTTTGAGGTTCGTGGGCTTTCAGAGGGCTCCCTGCCCTGAGGAGGCTGTGCCCAGAGCAGCAGTGCCTGCCCAGGGTGCCACAGCGAGTCAGGGCGTGGTGGCTGCAGCTGTCCCTGAACCTCGGCCTGGGTGAGGGGGAGCTCCCGGCCCCCCGGAGCTGGGCTTTGGGGCTCTCCTGACCCCTCCTACTTCTCCGAGAGGCTGCTGGCCCAGATCGGCCACTGAGGAGGGAGTCCTAGGCTTCTGGGCGGAATCCGCTCCCTATTCTCCCTCCTCTCTTGGTTCCAAAGAGTCTGTGTTTTGTCCTCATTCTTCCCTTGGTGGGAAGTGGCCTTCTGGTGTATGTACTTTCTTTGGACAATAAATGGTGCTGTGACTCACTTCCTCCAACCCCAGCCCTCCTCTGCATCTCCGTCTTATTCCGTCTCAGGGCCCAGCCCCTGCCCCGCGGGCGTGTCGGGGGCAGCTCCATCCCAGCTCCCCAGGGCAGTTGGGTCAGTCCGTGGGGTGGGCAGGGGGCTCCGTGGGCTGCCCCTTCAGCTGACTTGGTTCTGGCCCTGCGTGCCCCACGGCACACCCTGCCTTGGGGGCTGGCCTAGCATCTGGGGCGCTGGCCTGTGGCCCCCCCAGCCCCATGCCCTTGCGGGGTGTCTGTGTGAGGCCCAGCAGAAGCGTGGAAGCTGCCTCTTGGAAGGCAGAGGCGGCCGTGCCCTCCAGAGGGTCTCAGGGACCACCCCTCTCTGTGTCACCCTCTGCCCCACCACCCTGTCTCAGGCAGCCAGCCCTGCTGCCTTGCACAGGCAGGCCTCTGCCCTCGCCAGTCACGCGTTCCGTCAGTTCTTCCCTTGGCCGGGGCTTCCCACAGTGTGGCATCCGCGTCGCTGGGAACTTGCTAGAAATGGAAGTTCCTGGGCCCCACCCCCGACCTGCTGGGTCAAAAACTTGGGGGTGAGGGGGGCTGAGCATGGTGTTATGACCAAGCCCTCCTTGTGGTTCTCATGCACACTTAGGTTTGAAAACCACTGACAGGTGTGCCGCCAACTAATCAGTTAATTAATGGATTAAGTAAGTGTCGGGTCCTTACTTGTGACCGCTGCTGTACCCGCCACTTTGGCCCACCTGTTCTTCCAGAGCTAGAGGCATGCGTATGTATTTACCAACAAACACTCAGCTGTGCACTGCCCCACACTTGGAAAGATACTGGCATGCACAAACTCACACCGCACGCTCCAGCCAGCACACAAACGCACTTGCAAAGACACAACGGCATGTCCAGCTCCCGGGGGGGGAGGTGTCCAAGGAGGAGGCATTGGTGGACGGACACCGCCCGGCCCCCACGTGCCCGCTCGACTGTCGAGGTTTGTCAGGGAATCCATAAACAACTGAAAGGTTCCCACTGATGTCCTGCAGCCTACTGCGGGGTAGAATGCCCAGGCCTTTTTGCTTGTAGCTGGCTAGCCAGTTTCCCCTCAGAATGTGTCAGCGAGATTCCCTGTTCCCAGATATCTGCAGTTTGTTTTTCTTCCCTCTTTATAAATCCTGGTTTTTATCTTTGTTCTTGGACTCAGTCTACTGATTGAGTCCTCCCACACGAGCAGTGTGGTATCAAAGAACCACACTATGCAAGGTGACCACATGTCACATGTGAGCTGTTTGACAGTGTGCCCGCTCGAAAATCCACACACGCACCCCCTGACACAGGTCACGTATGTGACAGGCACACATGCATACGGACATACCACGTGCGCCCGCACATGCTCCACGTTCACACACAAACACACTCAAATAACCCATCAAACACGTCGGCACCCTGGTGAAAATGCAGCACAGCAGATGTGACTGTCCCCGGCTCTGAACTGACAGCAGTCGCACAATTTGGAGTCATTTGATCAAAACCTGTCTGCGCTGCCACCATTCTAAGAGCCCCTTCAGTAGACCGCAGATCATGGTTGCCTCTCCTTAAATGGAAAAAAAAAAAAAGGGAAAAGGAAAGAAATAGTTCTCTTCCAATGTCTTTATTATTATTATAATTATCATAATCTTTAGTTTTCAAAAATATAAATAGGTGCACGGAACCCTGGTGCCTGCACGGTCCCGGGGGTGGTGGCGGGGAGGGGAGAAGGGTTGGGTGGCGCTCCCTTGGGAAGGCAGTGCCCCCACCCGGCCCTGCCAAGTCAACACCTGCTAGGGTGGCAGACCCTGGTTAGGGGACACTGGAGGAGGGACCCTTGGAGGGAACCTGACCCTCTCGCGGCGGAAGATCCCTCGGTGGCTCTCTCCTGCCCACTCGCACTCGCCATTGGCTGCCTGGCAGGACTCTGCCCTCTGCCCCGGCGTTTCTCCCGCACACAGAGGGTGCAGCCCTGTGGCTCCTCTCGCAATCCTTCATGCCCTGGGGCCTCTGCCCCTTCCAGCTCCTCTGACCCTCCGCCCTCCTCCCTAGCTCCCCCTGGAGGTGAAATAACCAACGATTGCACTGCTCTTGGATAAAGTCAGGAAACAAAAATAATCTTCTTTATTTAACTTAACCCTCCCCTTCTCCCCCTGTCCCTGCACTGGTCCCTGGAAAGGCACAATGGGAGATTGAAGAAATGTGTCTAAACTCAGTCCATGGGTTACAATCAATTTGCTTTGCTTTGGCATTTAGGGGACAAATTAGATGCAATTTTGGTGATTTGGAGGGATGAGTGGGTGCATACACAATGTAGGATTTATTTTTTCCTTCTTTAATGGGATTCCTTATATGACAAAAAGTGACAAGAAGAGGACACCATCTGGGTGGGATGTGCTGTCAGCCTGGCAGGCTCCTGGGCTCAGCATCCTTGGCGCATGCTGGAAGCTCCTCTCAGTGGGCCGTACTGGGGCGGCTCCTCCGCTGGGGCCGTGAGCTCCGCTTCTGTAGCCGGCGCTTGTAGGTGGTGGCTGGGGTGAAAGGAGACGGAAAAATATCGGTGGACCCAGAAAGTGGGGCTGGGCCTACGCTCTCCCCAGCTTCCCCTCGATCCCTGCGGACACCAGGAGCTCACTAAGGCAGCCTGGGGCTTTAGGAGCTTCCCTGGTCTTGATGTTTCTTTGGGTCTCCTCGGGCTGAGGGTGTCCACGCCGGTGCTGAAAAGGACAGCAGGCCGCCACTTTCCTCCTGAATCCTCTCGGTGAAAGTGAGCCCCCTCCTGGGAAGGCACCTGGCCACCCCTAGGGGCAGTGATTTGTGGCTGGGCAGCCCCCTGACCTCGCTGCACTTCCTCGACCCTGTAGATGGTGTGAAAACCCCAGGGGGAGGGCGAGCCACCACAGTGCTCTGGGGACAGGGAGGAGGCTGCGCCGGCCGAATCTGACCCTGGGCCCTGTGAGGGTGGGAGGGGTGATGCTCACGGTCTGTGCAGGTGATCCGAGGCTCCTCCCAGTGCCCGTTGGGCTGGCACCGGATGGTGGGCACGTGGCGCTGGACGAAGCCCTCGGTGCACTGGTACCGCACCAGCGAATTGATCTCGTACCGGTCCTTCTTCTGCCCGAAGGTCCTGGCGTGCTCCACCATGGGGGGGTCTCCGCAGGCCACTGAGGGGTAAACAGCCTTTAGAAAGAGCTCTCGTAGGGTCTTCTGTGCTGACCCACACTGGCTGCGGCCCGAGGCACCACGGGAGGGGCACCGAGCCCCTGCCAGTGAGCCCTGGCCACTAAGAATTTGGAATCTGCTGGTTCTAGCATCTGAGTTCCTCAATGACTTAGAGCAGCAGGAAGGGACTCCAGGTGGGGTTTGTTCTTTAGGGGGCGGAGGGGAGGCCAATTGGGGGGGGGAAGGTAGGGAAAGAGGGCGAGAGCCCAGTTTTCCGGGAGCATCCAGTTCGAGGGGAAGTGGGACCTGCGGGAGGCCTGGGGGACGCCAGGCCATGAGCAGGGGTGGGTGGGGTGTGTCCTACCAGCCCCTCCATGTCCACGGACTTGAAGCTGAAGGATCAAAGCCTGACAACTCTGATTCTGTGTCTGATGGACTTGGGGACCCCAGAGACAGGAAGGCTCCCAACCGAGGTGCCCTTGAGGGTGACTTTCTACTGCCGATGTCCAAGGGACCATACGTGTGGAGTGGGGGATCCTGTCCTCTAGCCTGTGACCTTCACATGCTCGCTGTCCCTGCAAACGGTCCCGAGCAGCGAGCTTGCCCTTGCCATTGGTCCTGGGACGCTGGTGCCGGCAGGGGCCCCCGGCCAGCCCCAGTCTGCCTGCTGGACAGATGAGGAGACACCCGCAGCCAGGACACAAGGGACTCGCCCCCGTCACACAGCAAGAGCCTCACCTACAGCTGGAAGTCTTGACCTTACCCACTCTGGGCCCCCTCCCGGGCCCCAGCTCACCTGTGCCCTTTTTACAAGTGAAGGGCAGGTGGTAGTTGCAGGGAACATCATTCCACTCGCCCTTCTCGTGCCAGATCATCACCACGCAGTCCTCCCCGGTGGCAAAGAAGTTGTCGGGCTGGTTCGGGCGCCAGTTCTCAAATTGCTGCGGTGGGAGTGGGAAGGGGTGAGGTGGGGGAGGGGTAGCATAGCTTGGCCTGACCCCACTTTCTTCCCCATGGAGCCTCTCCCCATCTCCTTTCTCTTTTGCCTCAACTGATGGGCACGAAGGCCCCAGGGAATGTGGTCAGGGTTGCCCTAGGCACAGCAGAGCCCACAGGTCCTCCAGGGAATGGGCCACGCAGCCTGGCTCTGGTCCGGGGAGTCACAGTCCCTGCTCTTTTCCAGAAGGGCCAACAAGGGCCGACCACACAGGCTGCCTTGCCTGGGCAGGGCCGGGTGGCAGAAACAGGGCTCTCCAGTCCGGACTCCGCCCACCAGAGCAGTGCCCCAGGCTTCTCCCTCCAGCCTGGCCTCAGTCCCCCTTCAAGTCCTCCTCTTCCAGGGAGCCTTCCCTGAGGCCCTCAGCCCACTGACCGAGGCACTGACTGCCCTTCCTGTGCACTTGGCATCTGTGTGGCCTCTGTCCGTCTCCTGGAGTAGACGCGGGTCCTCCACGGACCAGCTCCATGTCTCCCTCACGGCGGTTTGCTCATACTCCCTCACTTCCCTCCCGGCGCCATCATCGCTCAACCTGTCCTGCCCCAGGCTGGCTCCGGAGGCAGAGGTGGAGACACAGTCCCTGCCCTGGAGGGCTGCAGGGGTTTGGACGCTTCTCTCCCTGGGGGTCTTTACCCCACCCCCTCTCCTCTGGGCCGCCAGCTGTGCCCCGCAGAACTCACCAAGGAGTGTCCGTCTGACCAGCGGAAGTCGCCTTCGATGGTCCTGTCATTCAGGCCAATCCACTGGTAGTCTTGGGCATTGTCTGGAGAGGATGAGGGTGTCGGGTCTGAGAAACTTGGGCTCACAGAGGCAGAGGGGAGGGTAGGGGACGGCGGTGGGTGGGCTCCTAGGAGCCTGCCACCTGCCTCTCAGGTCCTTGCAAGGGTCTCAGTATACCCGTGTCTGGAGTGCACTTTGGACCTCCACTCCAAGCTGGCAGAGACAGGTGACAGCCACAGGGTTAGTCTGGGGCTGACTCTGACTGGCACTGAGTTATCCTGGTGCAGCCAGAGCTGCTGGCCCCAAAGACCTCTGTCTTCTGCTCTCAGGGAACTCAGAGCCCGGGAACACTGTTCCCCTCCGAGGCCCCTGCCTCTGCAGCCTCTCCGTGCCCAAGTCTGCTGACTCCAGGGTGAGGTCCTTTGCTCACGTGGCCACTTTCTTCCCAGGTCCCAGGGGTCCCGCCACACTCACTGTTGACAAACTCCTGCTCCTCAGGGGTGACGATGCTGCTCAGGTGTGACTGATGCTCCCGACACCGGCCCTCGGCATCCACCCAAGTCTCGCGGTCGGGGAAATGGCGGTAACAGTTGCCCTGGAACTTGGTCCAGCCCTCCTCACAAACCTCCTGGTCTGCAACACAGGGCAGGGGCTTGAAGGGAGGGGCCCGAGGCCCACTGGGGATGGCAGGTGCTGCCAGTCTGTGGCGTGGATTCCTGCGCTCACCCCGCCTCACATGCTGTGCCCTCAGGGGAAGAGGGGGCCAGCTGCAGAGAGCTTCCCGTTGGGAGCCAGGAGGGCCTGGCCCCAGGAACCTCTGAGCACGTTCCCACTCTGGGAGATGCCAGGGGCCCTTTCTTTCCCTCCTGCCACACTCTTCCCTCTCCCAAGCTTTCCTCTGCCGATGCCTGCTCTGGAGGGCTGGAGAGGTCAGCAGGCCAGGCACAAAGAGGTGGGAAGGTGGGAGGTTTTGCAATTTAAGGCAAAACATGGTGCCGAGGCCATGAGGGGCTCCAGGGACAGAGGAGCCGTGCTAGGGCACGGAATGGAACTGGCCACTTCCTTCCCGCAGAACCTCGGTAGGGACAGAGGAGCAGAAAGAAATCTGCTTTGGGTCCACAGCGGACTCAGGCCCTAAGGCCACCGGTCAGAGCTTGCTCCAGCTGGGCACACTGTGCCTGCCGCCTGCGGGGCGAGACGGCCAACCAGGGGTCCACGACCCGGGGGCCCTGGCTTTTTATTTTATTTTATTTTGATGGCAGATGGTAAGAGGGAAGGAGCTTCTCTCTGCACAAAGCTAAATCTGAAGTGGGTTCTCAGCTCTGCAGAAGGGGCTGTTTGGAACTCTTGGAGGAGCCCAGAAGGGCAGAAGCAAGGCATGCTGGAGTGGCTCCCTCAGGCTTGAGAGAGCCAATTGTGACAGTCTCTTCCCAGCTCTGCCTTCAGTGACATCACATCGGTAGCTTTACATTGGCCCTGCTGGGAGTGTTTACACCTCAGGTATTGGCAGATGCGACAGCACCGGGCAGAGCAAATTCCAAGGCCCTCCCTTCCTCTTCCCTGGGGCCTTCTGGGTGGAGGGTCCTGTGGCTGAGTGGAGGGCCATGAACCCCCCAGGCTGCATGGCAGCCTCCCTGATGGGGTCCCACAGTCTGGCTGTCCCAGGAAGGAAGGACCAGTACCCGAGGGTAAGGAGTCTTAGGCTGAAGGGGCAGGTGTTTGGCAAGGCGGAGGAGAGACAGCTGTGGACAGCGGAGAGAGAGGAGGCAGGAGGCCAGCAGCCGAAAAGGAAAGAGGCAGAGCAGCAGGAGGGTCCCCTGCTACCCCCGCCTTACCGAAGGGGTGAGCAAAGGGTTAGAAAGGGGCAGAGAGGCCTCAGAGGTAGCTCAGCACCATAAAGAGGCATCCCAGGGCTGGCTTGTGGGGTCAGTTTTGGGGCCTCTTAGTGCCTGGGGGCTGAGCTGGGCAGGCAGAGCTGGGGGTGCAGCTGCCGGGGGTGGTGGTTGGGCCACATGCAGGATGGAGACTCTGGGGAGGCAGAAACAGATTTGCAGGACGGCTAGATGCTGCAGGGCAGAGCCACGACAGGCGGCGCCGTGGGCGGTGGGGGCTCAGGACCGGGACGGGAGAAGAGATGCAGCCTGCTTGGCTGGGCACCCAGGCCCAGGGACCAGTTGGGTGGCTCCAGCACCATCTCTCAGCTCCATCAGGGCGCACAGCCCAGCGAGGGCCCTGCTTCCATTCCAGCAGAGCCCCTCTCCCAGTCTGGGATCCAAGAGCTGTTGTCTGCATGGATGTTCCAGACCCTTCTCCCCTGTGGCGAATGTTCTGGCATCCTGAGGAGAAAATCCTTGTAGCTCTCCACTCCCACCCCAGCCAAGACCCATGCACCAATTTCTTGGTGTCTTGGGGTCAGGACAGAGGGTGGAAGACTGCAGGGGAGGGTGTCCAAGTCTTTTCTTCCAGAAGCCTTAATTTCTTCTACCAGTCTGTAACCTTGGCAATGCCTCCAAGGAACATGTGATCCAAAACTATCTCCCCACACTGCTTAGGACCAAAGGGAGACTTCCCAAGACTTTCACCTGCTTTCTGGAAGTTTCTGGGGTGTGCAACTTGAGAGTTCATTGAAAAGGGTTTTAAGCTTAGCCCCTGCACCCTTCCAGTTCTGCGTGGACCATGGCTACCGCATCCAAAAGTCTCATCTCCCCTTTTCTGAGTTGGGAAGCCCCTGAGGTCCAGGAGGCTGGGGGAAACCAGGAAGCATGAAAGGTGAGAGGGCTGAGGGCTTAGTCTGGCCCCGGGAGGCTTCCTGGCACAGAGTTCCCCTTGGCAGAGCTGGCAGCTCTGCTGAGATGAAGAAGCGGAGGGGTCGGCAAAGCCCAAGAGAGGAAACTCAGCCCTGCCCCTTGCAACAAGGTTCCGTTCTCTCTGGCCAGCCCTTTGCTTTGCACAAGAGAGGAAGAAAGGAAGCATGGGCTGATGTGGCATTGAATGGCAACTGTCACAGTGGTGATGAGGAGAAGGTGACATGCAGCAGTCCCTGCTCATGCATGACTTGAGCATGCTGGTGACACGGGAGCTCTCAGGCAGACCAAGCATAGCTCTCACCCCAGGAGAAGAGGAAGGAAGCTTGGCCAGTGTGGCACAGTGGCTCCCAGGGCCATGAGGGGGCCACAAAGGTCCCATGGGCAGACACATGCCCATGATCACACTGAGAAGATCCGTGACTGTCATCTGGAGTGAGAACCCATTATGCCCACTCCATGGCTTCCTTCAAGACAAATGCCTGGAATCAGCTCTGTCCTCTTAGTCTGACACATGCACCAGCCTCAGTGGTGGCATCAGCAGGTCTGGAGCGCTGGAGAAGGTTAGTGTTTTAAAGGTTCCCAGAGTCCCGCTTCCAAAGTGCAGGCTGGCTCAACCCGCATGTCTCTCCTACAGTCAGATTCGCCAGTGCCCCAGAGGAGGGTCTTCAAGGGGAAGACCAAGAGAAAGAACAGGAATCAGGGGGTAGACTTTTCTGCTGTGGTCCCTGGTATGGCTGTTCAGATGGACCTTGGGGACCCCAGCTGAGGCCTGGAGCCTGTGGTTAGAAGGGAAGCACGAGGAAGGAGGAGGGGGAGCAGCAGTTAGTGACATTAGCTGAAGCCGAGACGGCCGTACCGATCTCACACAGGTCCCCTCCGTAGCTGGGAAGGCATAAGCATGTGAAAGAGTCGATGGCATCCACGCAGGTGGCTCCATTCAGACAAGGGCTTGAGAGGCACTCATCAATGTCTGCAAGAAACCAAGGGCCACCATTAGGACTCCCGCCGGCTACTCCAGCCTCGCAAGCACTGGGGCCTCCTGATGGGTGGCCAGCCCTGCTGCTCTTCAGAGCCCTGGGAGGGAACTGGCTGGTTTTCCTAAGAACTGTTGCTGCTGCTGCTGCTGCTGCCGCCATCTTGGAGTGCTGAAGGAGTGATTCAGACAAGCGTTTTCCCGGGTATGTGTGACTCTTGATTGGCAAGCTTGGAGTGTTGGTGCCAGGTTTCCCAGTGGGTTGAAGAGATCTGATACCTCTAAAGCCAAATGCCTTTTGGGAGAGTGAGCATGGAGTTCCTCCAAAGATACCTCCTCTTGTGACTATTTCAAGAAGCCATTGGGCTCTAAACTGGCTATGAACATGGTGGTGAGCAAGGACACTGGAAGTCAAGTTCCTGAAGCTGGGTTAGAGGCCTTTCTTTTCCTGGCTTCCTCTGTAGTTAAGAACCAGGGAAAGAGGGCAAGGCCATGCAGTCCCAGAATGAAAAACCTAGAAATGGTCTGCAGGGTGTAGATCCATGAGAAAATGGCAGCATGGGATATTACATGAGACTCAGTAGACTTCTTGGGTTGCAGACAGCTCCATTGTCTTCAGTAAATAAGATTCTAGAATATCTTGTTAAAATGAAGTCAGGATCTTTCTCTTGGAAGAGGGACCTATACCCTGCCCAACATTTCCTGATATAATCTCCTTCCAGCTTAAGGTCTCAGAGGGGAGTATCTCCAGTGAGTCAGGATTTCCAGAGGGGTTCCATCCTGGCCAGTGGTAGACAAGTGTTTGAAGCCAGGGAGGTGCTTACTAAGTGGCTACCCACCAGCACCAGCCTGGGACACAGGCTGGTCCCCATCAGCTTCCCCTTTTCGGATAGGCTCTTCTTCCCTTTCGTTCTTCTGGTACCAAGATGTTCTCTCTGATCAAACTTCTCTGTGGGGCTTGAATTGGTAAGTCACTAGCCTTTGCTTCAAATTTTCATCAGTTAGCCAAGGTAAGAACTGGATCTCCTAATCTGGTCTTCCTGCATCTTTCTGAGAGATAAGGAACCCTGGGAGGTCTCTTCTGCTTTCTTGGTGTTTAATACTCCAAAGGTTCCTGCTTTTTTTTTTTTTTTTTCTGGGTTTCCTCTCCTGAACACATGATAAAAGGAATTATGAAGCTCCTCTTGCCAGGAGATCAATAAAATTCTGCCGTGAGCGGGTCCACTGGCTTCTGGGGCACCATGACGTGTGGTTTGAAGATTCTAAGCCTCGGTATGTGCACTGTGTTCATACAACCTTCAGGATCTGATGACATGTCGCTAGGTAGTCTCCACATAAGCAGCGAAGCCCTGTGTTGGGAATAGGACCTCAGAGTCCTAAACATGTGCCAGGATTTAGTTCTTGCCTCCCATAGAGCAAACCAGATCTAAAAGTCAATCCTCTGCTAAGATGGCAAAAGCACTCTCCTCTGGATCCGTGCGCTAGTGCACAGTAGACACCGTCTAGGCCAGGGCTGGGTTTGTGCAGTGGTGGCCTGCAAATCTCCAGTTCTCAGGCATCTTGCTCATCCCACGAAGCTCCTAATCTCCAGTTGTCAGGTATCTCTCTCTTCCCATGAAGTCCTTAACTTCCTCTCAGGGAGTGCACACCATGGACTAGAGACCAACAGTTCCAAGCTTGGAACTGTTCCAAGCAACATCAAATGCATGGAGGAACAGGCGAACTCCCAGCATGCACTTGGGCTCCCAGCGTGCCCCAGGATTCCCAGCAGCAGCAGTAGCAGCAATAGGTCAGGCCGCTCGGCGGGGCGGAAGCTGGGGGCGGCTCTCCTGCTTCAGGAAAGCTACTGTTCT